GGTTGGACTGGATGGCCCCTGTGGTCTCTTCCAACTCTATGATTCTAACTACAAAGTTGACAGATTGGCAGTTCGAGACCCAAATGCTGCATGATGGAGTGAGCTCCCATCACTAATCCCATCTTCTGCCAATCTAGCAGTTCAAAAGCATGTAAAAGTGCAAGTAGATTAATAGATACCACTTTGGTGGAAAGGTAACAGTGTTCTGTGCACCTTGACATTTAGTTATGCTGGCCACATGACCATGGAATTGTCTTTGACAATGCTGGCTCCCTTGGCTTAGTAACGGAGATGAGCACAGCCCCTATAGTCAGACATGACTAGACAATCATGTCAAAAGGGAAACATTTACCTTTGAGTAGTAGTAGTAATAAATAATAATAATAATAATAATAATAATAATAATAATAATAATAATAATAATTTATAACACCCTTTTCATCAAAGGGCAGAATATTAGACACATACAATCAAGGATGAGACAATAACATGTAACACTATAATATACTACAAAATTAAATCCCCACCATCCACCAGTTGCTACCCATCTTTGCAGTCTTAGGCACACTCAGCAGCAAACCCATCAACCCTTTATGAAAACAGGTAAGATCCTTCTCCAGCCAGAGACACAAAGGAAGACTGTTCCAAAAATGCAGACCTAGATCCTGAAAGGCTCACAGCCCTGACAGAGCTGTATGCACTGGTGGTACCGCCAATAAGATTAGTGTGATTCAACTCTTGAGAATCCATGCAGGTATACTTCCAGATAAATGAGATTCTGATACCTGGAAAGATGCAGGATTTATTAATCTAGTTATTCTCTAGCTTTGGTTGCAACCTCAGCTTTTTTATCTGTGTGGATATGTGTCTTGAAAACACAGAGCTGGAGCAACATGTGGCTCTCCAGACTTGTCTTTGGACTACAATTCCCAGAAGCCATAGCCAACATAATGAATGGTGAGAGATAGTGAGAGATACAGTGTGTGTGTGGGGGGGGGGAATCTGGAAGTCCACATGTTCCCCACCTCTCATTTAAAGGGAGGGAAAGGGCACAAAGAAATGGAAAGTGGCAGTGAGATTAGTACTCATGGTACTCTGTCCGAAATTTGGAAATAAAACCTGAAAGTTTAGGATTTCAGATGCAGGTGTTTCACTTCAGAAACTAGGCCTGGAAATTGGGAATTTGAAAATGTGAGTGAAAATTTTAGGTCCTACTCTTGCTCTTGAACCAGTAGAGATAAAAGAGGTATAGAAGATGGAAACCAGTGCCTCTTACATTATCTGATGTAGAGGATCAGCAATTCATGTGCCAGAGACCAGTACCATAAGACATGTCATCAAAACCTTTTTTAAAAACTGTCTTTATGCACAACTTCTTAAAACTGCCTAGAAAAATCCATTTTTTATCTATATGTTAAAAGTTATATGGGGTCATGGTTAAAATATGATTGCAGCTGATACAAATAAAAAGTATTAGTTATAATATCAACATACAAATAAATGGATTACCATATTAAACAACAACAAAATTGGAATCAGTTTAAAAAATTGGAGTAGAAAAGTACACCTCCTACTAAATGCCCATTTCCTCAGCAGCCAGCAGCCAAATCTCCCATTTTTGAATGAAATGGCCTTTGTTTATGTAAATTATACTCTGAGACAGGTTCCCCTTATGTTCTCCCCAGAAAATGTTTCCTCACTACTTTGAAAAGCAATATATGTGTATGTGTGCCCAAAGCTCTGTCTTGCCATTACGCTGGTCCCTGGATTGCCTTCTATTTGTGAAGTGCTCTCTGCTTGTCTTCCAGGGCCCCTGCAGTTGTTGCCAGTGATCCATAGGTGCTTATGGAAACACTGTACTCTGCTAGCAGAACCTGGTACAAGTTGGGGTGCTTTGATTGTGAGTTTCTGCATGGCAGAGGGTTGGACTGGATGGTTGTTATGGTCTCTTCCAACTCTAGGATGCTGTGATTCTAAGGGCCTTTGCAGACTGCTAGAAATAGTGCAGATTGAGTCCACTTTAAGGGTTAGGGTTAGTGCTAGGGAGTCATGGGAATTGTTGTTGTTTTTTTCCTGGAGACATTGAGCCTTCTCTGTCAGAGAGCTCTGGTGCCACAATAAAATACACTTCCCATGATTCTCTAACCGTAACCCTAACCCTTAAAGTGGACTCAATTTGCACTATTTCTGGCAGTCTGCAAAGGCCCTAAGTCTGCTGGCCACAGCCTCAGCAGAGCTTTGCATCCAGTACAGGACTCTACATACTGTACTGTACATGATGTGTGGGGGCTGTTTGTGTTTGTATAGTATGTGTGCAGCCCTTACTGCTTCAACCCTCACCCTGGGGAGAAATCACCATAGATAAGTGGCTGAAAATCTGCATCCTGTTGAAGGAAGTGCCATCGCTGCCCCTGGTATTGAAATGGTTTGTTGCCGTGTGCCTTCAAGTCATTTCTGACATAGGGCGACCCCCAAGGGGAACCTATCACAGGGTTTTCTAGGGCTGAGAATATGTGACTCAAGGACACCCACTGAGTTCCCATGGCCAAGCAAGGAATTGAATCCTGATCTCCAGAGTTGTAGTCCAGTGTTCAAGCCACTATACCAGTTTGGCTATTCAGTAACTCTACCAGAGAAGTTTACTATTCAGATTATTTCCATACTCACACTCTTCTATTCCCATTCCCCCCCCCCCCCTTCAGCTGTCAGGAACAGCTCTGAAGCCATGTTCACCAAAGGTGTTAAAATTCAAGCAGAGTTTTGTTTCCAGGAGAAAACTACTGCAAGTCTGTTTGGATTGTAGTTTTTTCTCTCTCATAAATATTGCGGGCTGGATTCTACATGCATATATTGAACTAGCAGGGGAGGACGACTCTTGACAGTAATTAACTGAAGGCCATGGCTTGTGAGCAACTTCCTGACCACTCAGGAAATTTAATGGAAAGCAAGATTGAGTATTACATTGGATGAAATTTATGAAAAGATGTTTCAGTAGCCTGGAAATTAATTATTGGATTTTTGTGCAAAGGCATGCTTTTCATGTCAGACTCTGGAATCCTTAGTACAGTTGCTTTAGAACATAATTCTTTAAGGAAAAAAGGTTTAAAGAGCTGTGAGTAAACACCCACAGCCTAGCAGGCTGTAGGCCAACTAGGGAGGAAGAAGAATTTTACTCAGTTTGCTTTTGATAGGAAATGTATGAAATTTGCATTTCCTGAATCAATACACATACCAGAATGTGGTTGTCTCTTGGCATCTGTGTGTCACAGAACTTTTAATAATGTTCTCTGAGCAAATTTTCATCAAAACACATATTTTAGGGGAAAGATCATGCAAAATTAAGTCTAATATGAAAAATATATACCAAAATGTATTGTACAAGGGGTAAACGACTTGCAAAAATGTCAGTATTAGGCAATATTGTGCATAAAAAGCCATATATTAGGAGAAAGGTATATAAAGAGGCATATAGATTTTATGGCATTTTTTTAAAAAGTTGCAAACTGATGCAGCAACAGGATGTAATGAACCAAAGATTAGGCAAAGATAGATTGCTCAGTCCAAGAGGACAACATTTGGCAGATTCTGTATTGTTGATCTTAGGGAAGGGGGGAAGACATATATAATTGAGCTTGATCTAGGTGCTAGTGAAGTGTATGTGTGGGTCCTCATTTGTGAAGCTCTTTTTATAGATGAGGAATGGGGTCCGTGGGACTGACTTGCTGCAGCAGACATGAAGGACAGTGCATCAAGGCAGGGACATCACTAGGAAGTGCAAGCCACACCAGATGACACCCTGACACAACTGCTCCCCAAACATCTGCTTTTTGGCAGAAATGAGTTGTGGTATTCCCTTTAAAATGCTGAATATATATTGATTTAGGTCACCTTTCTCCCAAGGTGGCTTACAACAAATTAAAACAATGAATATTAAAAACAAACAAACTATTACTATGAAAATTTAAAAAGTTAAACAATTTTATTAAAAACACAAAATTAAAACAGTCTAAAACAAACATAATAAAGCGATAAAAGCCCAACCCAGAGCACAAAAAGTCCCCTTTCCATGTGAATGCTCTCTCTTCCTCCTCACCAAACATGACTGTGATGGTGGAGAGACTGCAGGAAAGCCTCCCCCTAAAGATCTTATAACTTGAGCAGACATTTTGATTTTCATATTAATTTTGGAAGTACAAAATAGGTTGATTCATAATAAAGTGTAAAATTTTCAAGGGGTCCTTTTGTATTCTCAAATAGAGGTCTCAGCTTCATGGCTCTGCTTTTTATCATTTTCTAGTTCCCAGAGCTAGCATGGTGTAGTGATTGGAACATTAGACTACCGTGGGGACCAGGGTTCAAATCCCCACTCAGCCAGGGAAGCCCACTGGGGGACCTTGGCCAAGTCACACTCTTTCAGAGCTAGTCTACATGTAAATGTATTATACAAATTGGTGTGGATTTTTTAACACTGGTCCTCCCTTTTGCCACCCCAAAAAGAGTGGCAAAATGCCGCTTCTTTTAGGGGCGGCAAAACGCCACCCTAAGAGCTGGCACTTCCGTGCCCTTTTGGTGCAGCATGTGTACACTCTGTGCCAGGAGAGCATCCTGATGCCGCACGCTGTGCAAACATCAGGATGGAGTTGGGGTGGCTGGCAGGCTGGCCCTTTAGGCCGGTCTCCAATGCCCCATAGTCAGCATGACTACACAGAACGTTATTACCTTTCCACCAAAGTGGTACTTATTTATCTACTTGTATTTGCATGCTTTTGAACAGCTAAGTTGGCAGAAGCTGGGACTAGTAACAGGAGCTCACCCCATCATGTAGCACCCAGGCTTCAAACTGCCAACCTGTTGATCTTGCAATCATCAGTGTCAGTATTACATATTAAAACAAATTAAAGCAATAAATAAATTAACCTTCCTTATTTCTTAGAGTTGATGTTTTTTATCTGACTGTGTTACTGTGGTTGGTGCTTAAGGTACCGTGCTTAATGACATTTACTGGGCCTGCCCTCTGTGACATTAACCTTGTAACAGCATCGGGATTCACCCTGTCACGTTGCAAGGGGTCATCTCTAATTCTTAGGTTTTGATCTTGAAATCTCATGACTTGGGATTGTCTTGTCCTGGTCAGGGTGTCCAGATGCTCTAATCACAAAAGAGGACAAGTCACCACAAAATGTAGGACATTCAAGAAAAATGTAGGGCATTATTAAATAAAATTTAAAAACACTTATATAAATATCAATTGATGCCTCTTAGTCCTCCTCAAAACATTTTGGAAATCCTCCTGGAGAAAAGGTTGAAAAGTAGGACAATTCTTGAAAAAGGAGGATGTCTGTTTACCCTGGACCTGATAATCTTAGTCGTACTCTTATTGGGGCTCCCATCCCCACAAGCCCACATTGTTTTGCTTATTTTATTGTTGGATGACTGAGCTTCTCTGCAACTGGAAACACTAAAGGAGCAGGGTGCTCATTCCTAAACAAACAGCTGTGGGTAGCCATTTCTACATAGTATTTACCAATTTTTACAATTTTGTTTTATGAGGAATTAAAAATGAGAGATCCAGAGGTAAGAAAACCTCCAAGACTGACCCATCTTGCCTATCTTGAAGATGACAGCGACAGCATACCAGTTCATAACAGGCTGAAGAATGTGTAATCTTGTAAAGGGTAATTAAATAATTTTCCTAGAGCTGTTTTAATTATAGAACAGCTCTTTCTGTGAGCATCTTTATTTTTAGACTGATTTTTAAGAGAGTGTTAACTTGCTTGCATATAGATCAGTTCTAAGAAAGTGGAGACCCGGGAATGTTAATCTTGACCCGCTAGATGTCACTGTTGCTTGAAAGACGCATGATTGATACTGCATTCTTTTGTCAGCCAAGATGTGTGGCTATTGCCATTTGGAAAATACTGTGGAGTTTGTTCAGTGTGGGAAAGTTACATTTTTGAACTACAGCTTCTGTAATTCTCCAGTTAGCACAGCTAGTGGTGATGCTGGCTGGGCTACTCTGGAAGATGTAGTCCAAAATAACTTTTCCAAGTGCAGTTTTTGTGACACATGTTTATATGTGTGCTTTCACAAGACACTGTGGTTACTAGGTCATGGCTTTTATTATAGTAACAACTGTATTTGATAAGGAGCAGCATTGAAAAGTGCCAGTTGTAATCACAGTCAAAGCAAGTATTCAGTTAAAATTTATATTGACAATTTTGATTGGGACCTCAAATGCCTTTGAAATGAAGAAAACTGACAAAATGGATCTATGTGTAAATAGAAAAGTGGCTATGTCTAGATTGCCTCCTTCCTCCAAATTTGTTTGTTGATACGTGAGAGTAAATGATGAGAACAAGCTTTGATTTTGTGGTCCCCTTCAATCTGGCTTCACTTCTGGTGCAGCACTGAAATGGCTTTGGTTACAGAGATGGATGACCAGTATCAAAAGAGGGAGGGAAAGAATGAAGCTGTGTTAATTCATCTCGCTCTCTTAGCACTTTTCTATACAATCAACCACCTCTTGGACCAGCTCTCTGGGTTTGAGGTTTGGAACAGAGTGTTTTATTGCCTCTGCTCCTTCACATACAGTTGCTTCCAGAGAGTACAGTTGTCCCTTCTAATTTGCGGACTTGGAGTCTGCGGTCTTGCTTTTTGTGGTGTCAAGGTGGGGAGAGATTAAAATGGCGCACACATTATAATCAACGGGCTTTGAATATATGCAAATTTCCATTTTCATCAGGGGTGTGTGTGTCTGGAATGGATCCCCTGTGAAAATGGAGGGACAACTGTAGTATCCTGTAGTACCATCGCAGTTTAGTGGTTTTAGATCCAGCATGGTATAGTAGTCTGAGTGCTGGACCACAAATCTGGAGACCAGGGTTCAAATTCCTGCTTGGCCATGAAAACCCTGTGGGTAACCTTGGGTAAATCACACTCTCTCAGCCTCAGAGGTAGGCAAAGGCAAACTCCTTCTGAACAAATATTGCCAAGAAATCATCATGATAGGATCACCTTAGGCTGGGTCACCATAAGTCAGAAAAATCTCGGAGGCCCACAATAACAGCAGCATAGCACTTATGCCACTTTTTACCATTTATATCAGCAGTTGGGGAACATTTGGTGATCTAGATGTTCTAGACTACACTTGTCACTGTCCCTAACCATTGGCCATGCTGAAGGGGGATGACAGAAGTTATAGGTAAAACTTGCTGGATGGCTGAAGGCCTTTTACTCCTAATCTGTTGGATGCTGTTGGGGGCACTCCTCAGCAGGGCTGTGGAGTCAGTATGCCACATCTATGACTCTGATTCTTCTGTCTTTCTACTTTCTGATTCCTACATGAATGGCAAATGTACATTAATTAGTAATAACAAATTTAGTTAAAATGGTAGCATAAGGCTTTTCATCAATCAAGGTTCTACTTTGATTGATATAACTTAAAAATATATATATATTTGATTGATATAACTTAAAAATATATACTTTCCTAAATTCCCACGAAAGTAAATATATAATATCTAACAAACCTTGCATTTAATATTATAAGTTTTTATTTTGAAGCCAGGTTTAGTACATTTCTACTCACCCCAACTCCACCCAGAATTGCTTTCC